TATTATTATTCCGAGTTTATCAATAACGCAAAACGGTGTCCTGAATCGAAGCTTTATTTGTTGCAGCAACTGTTCCGCAGTCAGCCACAAGGGGCGACGCCACAGCAGCTCCAGCTGCTGCAACAGCAGCAACAACAACAGCAACAACAGTACTTGGCCGCGTCGCAGGTGCAACAACAGCAGCAGCAACAGCAGCAGCAGAACTTCCCGGCTGCGCCGTACACCGTTATCAGCGGCCAGGAGCCTTACGTGGGGGCATTGATAGCAGGTGCCCCTCCCGTTGTGCCGCAATACTATGGGGTCGGGCCATGGGTCTATTCCGCAGGACTCCTGCCGCAAGCGCCTCCTCAGGCTGCCGCGCCCCCGCCACCCAGGAGGCCGCTGACGCCGTCCTCGGCCGCAGCCGCAGCTGCAGCGGCCCAGGACACGGCCAACAACATCGCCCAGACGGTAACGAACCCCAAATAGTTAAACAACGAGTCGAACATTAGTGCCCGTGAACGTAAAAGTGGTATAATGCCTGATCCCACCAACCGCGGTTAAAAAGATAATCCCCGGTTAGGAGTTACACGTTTCATCGCATTTTAACGGCTGGTTAATTTTTATTAACAGCCAAATTAGATCGTTTAGCATCGGTTAATCGAACTTCAATCGAAAAACTGCATATACAGGAGGAGAAATACGGATTATATTGAGAATGTATTACAGGAAACATTTTTGGTGTGTGAGTGCGTGCGCGCGCGTGTTCGTGTGCGTGTGTACATATACATATATACATACATATATGCATATATGCATACGTATATATTCATATTCATATTCATATTCATACTCATACTCATACTCATACTCATACTCATACTCATACTCATACTCATACTCATACTCATACTCATACTCATACTCATACTCATACCTATACCTATACCTATGCCCATGCCCATGCCCATGCCCATGCCCATGCCCATGCCCATGCCCATGCCCATGCTCATGCTCATGCTCATGCCCATGCCCATGCTCATGCTCATGCTCATGCTCATGCTCATATTCATATTCATATTCATATTCATACATCATTCACAGTCATACATATACATATGTATATGTATATATGTATGTATATATACCTCCAACCTCGATTATATATCTCAGCGCCTTTCATATCATCTTAAAAGAAATAAAAAAAAGTGTCTTATTCGACTTGTTTGATTTGAGGCGGGTTTCACCATACATATACATATATGGATATGTATATCAGAACGCGAAAATGTTTATAAAACTTTTGCAGCTTTCGAAATATCATTTGGGCGAATATTTCGTCCTGCGATTCCTCGGGCCGGGTTCGTCCCGACTTTTCTCATCTCGCAGTGTCCTTTGGACCTCAAAACCGGTTTAGGAGTCCGAGTGTCGTCGACCTGTCCAACATTCCTGCCTAGCTTACGTACGTCTCCAAACCTAACCTAACCTCGCCTTCTCCACTGACACACTGCGCGTCCACCAGAAGGGCTAAGGCCGCGATTTATCGACCTCTACCTGGGGGTTCGGCGAGAGAAAAACGACCAGGATGGATTGGTGCGTCAAGCTATCGCAATTCATGATTTCGGAATACGGAGGAATTATGTCCTAATTTTGCGCTGAATTAATTCATTTTATTCCCCCACCATTTTTCTGCAATTTGAAATTTCAGGGCGGCGAGAGGAAAACTACCGGAATGGAGCACGTCACTGTCACAATTCATGATTTCTGAATACGGAGGAATTGTGTGCTAATTATGTGCTAATTTTGTGCTGTAATCGTTTTTTCATTACACCGACCATTTTTTCCAAAAACTGGATTTTCGATCCGGGCGTGGCAGATCGACGTCAAGCTAGCACTCCTTTCTTAAACAATACATAAAGATACATAATAACAATACAAAAATACATAAAACAAGTACACCAAATTGAAGGGGAAATTATGTGCTAATTTTGTGCCGTAATAGTTTTTTCACTACACCGACCATTTTTTTCAAAAACTGGATTTTCGATCCGGGTGTGCTAGATGGACGTCAAGCCAGCATGTTCCTTCTCAAACAATATATAAAGATAAAAACAAGTACACCAAATTGAAGGGGAAATTATGTGCTAATTTTGTGCCGTAATAGTTTTTTCATTACACCTACCATTTTGTCCAAAAACTGGATTTTCGATCCGGGTGTGCTAGATCGACGTCAAGCCAGCATGTTCCTTCTCAAACAATATATAAAGATAAAAACAAGTACACTAAATTGAAGGGGAAATTATGTGCTAATTTTGTGCCGTAATAGTTTTTTCATTACACCGACCTTTTTTTCCAAAAACTTCATTTTCTATCCGGGCGTGCCAGATCGACGTGAACCCAGCAAACAATACAGAAAGATAAAAACAAGTACACCTAATTGAAGGGTAAATTATGTGCTAAAATCATCAAAAGTGAATTAGTACACTGATATCTTCGTTTTATCCCTCGGATTGGAACAAAACGAGCGAATGCATTTTTTTTTGTTTGAAGTAATCGAGTGCGCCACGAGTAATCGTGCATGTCGGTCTTCACATCGACGCGTACGTGAGGTTTATTTGTCGCACTTGCGCAATTAATTAGCGCGCCGTCAAGTGCTCTGATTCGCGGCGCATTCCCGACGGCATTGCGAATGCGATTGCGCCGCACTTTGCATCGTCGAAATAAAAGCAATAAAAAATGCCGAAGTGGCAACTTGTCCCCTTCGAACCCCAACAATCACTTCTCTCTCTCTCTCGACAATCACTTCTCTTTTCTCTCTTCTTCGGGAAGGGGGAGAGTCATTGTATCGTAAACGTTAATATTTTTCAATGAATGTTTCATCAATAAATATTTTACAATGAATGTTTCATAAATAAATATTTTACAATGNATTATTATATGGAAGAACACGCTGCTAATGAAATTTCTTTTTTCGACAAAAAGATTTTGAGCTTTATTTCATTCTTTTCGATCACTTGACCAGTTTGTAGACGAGGGGGGCACTTTCCTCCGGCGGGGAGTCAAGGTGGGCCCGTGGGCCCCTCTTTGTTTGGGCCCGTAAAGTCGAGGAACAAACCGGTGTTATTATTGGGCAGGTGCAGCGAGAGATCGTTTCCCTTGACTTCGCCCACAAGCTGTCGGTTCTCTTCCGGCAACGGTTCCACCTTGCGCCGTATATTTTTCCCTTTGTTTATGACCCTGAACGCTCGTTATCTGCGAATTTCTCTTTCTCGTCGGATTCCCCGTGAAAAATCGAGAGGAAATGCTCCCTTGGAAAATTTCGTGGCTATTGTACTTTCCGAGATATCGGGATTTAATGTCGACCAATCAGACGGCGGCTCCAACGGAAATTCCGGGCGGGTCTAAGGGAAAAGATTTCAAATGGAGGATTTTCAGACAGAAATGTGAGCGCGATTTATCCTTTATGATAAATATGCACTCATTGTGATAATTATTATAAGTTTATTTCCCCTATGTTTACAACCCTGGGCCCATTATCCCAGATTTTCTCATGTCTGTCAGATTCCCCCTAAAAAATCGAGAAGAAATGTTCTTTTTGAAAATTTCGTGGCTTTTCTACTTTCCGAGATATCGGGATTTAATGTCGACCAATCAGACGGCGGCTCCAACGGAAATTCCGGGCGGATCTAAGGGAAAAGCTGTCATTAAATAAGAGATATTCAGAGAGAAATGAAAGAGTGACACGGAATAGGATATAACCTTTCATTCAAAATGTATAATAATGATAACAACAAGTATAACGCGAACTTTCCCCTGGAGCCGGCGCGTGATTGGTCCACTTTGATTTCCAATATCTCCGAAAGTATCCATCGTACGAAATTTTGCAAGTAAGAATTTCGAACTGATTTTTCATGATCTCGCTAGTGGGAAATTATTCCAGGGTCGTTATCAAATTTTCTACCCATTCTCTGGTTACGTTTTAGTGGGGAAGTAACCTTACTCAGACGAGAGAAATGGCAGGAGGGAAAAAAGTGATTTCATGGACACTCACGGCCGGCTTGAGGGAATCGATGAGTAACTCTTGCGGCATGCATGACCTCACGCATTGATAAATCCTCGACCTTATCTTCGAGCTGCGGTTTCACCGGATTTTAACCTGGATGACACATTCCCCACCGGATTCCTAAATATTTCCCGAAGTACGTGTCGAAACTTTCTAACGTCACTTCCTGAGAATCTTCGACCATAAGAAATGCATCGAATTGAAAATATTAATGGTGAAGGGAAACCCCTTTAAATCAGTCGATTCGAATACCACACTTTTTTTTAAGGGTATTAGACCAAACTGTCCGAAACTTTGACACGTCACTCCTGATCATCTAAGAATTGTCCTGACACATTCAAAATTTGGATTTTTGGAAAAAATTTTTTAACTCAGCCCGGACCAGAACCAAAATGGCGCCGAGCTCTCATATTTCGATNATGGCGCAGGGGGTCCCTCCGCAGTCAATTAGGGCCCCAGAAAGCACGAATCCAGAGGATTTCTGGAGTTTTACTTCGATTTCTTTATAATTATTGTACGAAAACGACAGGTGGAGTATGCCATTTGGTACAATACCCAATATAATTCGACCCAGCTGTCGATATAAAGACCAACATCGGCAACGTAGCCATTTAGGAAAATCTTCTTTATCGACGTCGATCAAGTTCCTCGACGTGTTTCACTTCACCTTAATTTCTCTGAAGAAACATTTTGAAAGTGGTTTAATGGTTTGCGTCGAGGTCGTCGAGTGGACGATTCGTGACTCAGAGCGAGACTCATATGCGTATAAAATTCCAGGATGGGCAGGAAGATAAGGACGTGTCCTTATAAGAATACGGCATGAATTCGATTGACTTTGAAAACGAACGGAGGAGTGTTGCCATTTTTTTGGCTATTTGGGAAAAGATTCTGACAAGGAGACATTCCCAGGTGTCGAAGCGGCCGATCTTATTGATTTTCGTATATGTGCTCATAATTATGAAAGTGGTCTAAGTCATATATTTTTTGTTTCGAAATTACATTGAATTAATTTCGTTTGAAATAATATGGCGTGAAATAACTGATAAACTCATTTTTTTTTTAATTTTGACTTGGACCACTTTCATAATTATGGGCACATATGTTGAAAAATAGAAAAATGTAAGAAACACGTGTTTTTGTTTTCTATTATCATCATTCATATCAATGTATATAGAATGCCTCTTTGATATCAATGTATATAGGAAGCCTTTTTCATATCGCCTTAATACATGTCTAATGAACTTTCATATCAATATATATATAGAATAACCCTTTCACGTCGCTGTAATACATATAGAATGATCTTTCATATCAATGTATATAGAATGCCCCTTCCATATCGTTTTAATATATATATAAAATGATCTTTCG